TAATTCGTAAATGTGTAAACGTTATTGCATGTATATATTTATTGGACACATGTCTTAAACTGTGGAGCATCACACCTCTAACCAAAAGAAGAAGGAACTGTGGAGCTTCAGTCACTCAAAACTTTCTGCTGCTGTACTTTATGTACAGAAGCTATTTCTGGCACAATGACACACTGAAATGTGTGATTCAGGCAGTCAGCCCTGCTTTCTGAAGGTAGAATTATTCTTCTCTGATGTTATTCAGAGTGAGTTAGACCAATAGGCCTCTTCAAGATGAGACATCCCATTGAGTCAGATCAAGATGTAAACAAAAGTGTAGTTATAATATATTTTATTACTCAGCCTTAAGTTGACACATTGACAAGTGGAGAAAAAGTGCAAATTCTATTTTGTATTTCTTTTACTATTTTTTTAAAAACAATCTTGCAGTGTTAAAATAGGAGTTGCAGTACACTTTCCTCTAGTACAGGGATTTATTTTATTTATTTAATTAAATTTCTATACCGCCCTTCTCCAATAGGACTCAGGGCGGTGCACAGCCTAAGTAAAAACAGAGCATACAAAATTTAAAAACAGTATAAAAAATTAAATATTTAGTTGAAATAAATAAGTTTTCAGGGCCCGACGAAAAATCCGGAGGTCTGTTATTATCCGTAACTCTGGGGGAAGGTTGTTCCAGAGGGTGGGCGCCGTCACAGAGAAGGCTCTCCCCCTGGGGGTCGCCAGCCAACATTGTCTGGCGGACGGCACCCTGAGGAGGCCCACTCTGTGTGAGTGTACTGGCCGGTGGGAGGCTATTGGTGGCAGAAGGCGGTCTCGTAAGTACCCCGGCCCTAAGCCATGGAGCGCTTTAAAGGTGGTCACCAACACCTTGAAGCGCACCCGGAAGACCACCGGGAGCCAGTGCAGCTCGCGCAGGAGAGGTGTCACATGGGAGCGCCTCGTCGCCCCCATAATCCCCCGCGCGGCCGCGTTCTGGACAAGCTGGAGCCTCCGGGTGCACCCCAGGGGGAGCCCCATGTAGAGAGCATTGCAGTAGTCCAGGCGGGAAGTGACTAGTGCCTGAGTGACTGTGCGTAGAGAGTCCCGATCTAGAAAGGGGCGCAACTGGCGTATCAGGCGAACCTGATAAAAAGCCCCCCTGGCCACGGCTGTCAAATGATCTTCTAGAGACAGCCGTGCGTCCAGGAGGATGCCCAAGTTGCGAGCCCTCTCCGTGGGGGCGAGTAATTCACCCCCAATAGCCAGCGATGGCGTCAGCTGGCTATATCGGGACGCTGGAAGCCACAGCCACTCGGTCTTGGAGGGGTTGAGTCGGAGCCTGTTTCTCCCCATCCAGGCCCGCACGGCCTCCAGGCACTGGGACATCACTTCAAGGGCATCGTTGGGGTGGCCTGGGGTGGAGATGTACAGCTGGGTGTCATCAGCGTACTGATGGAACTCCACCCCGAAGCCACGGATGATCTCACCCAGCGGCTTTACATAAATGTTGAACAGAAGGGGCGAGAGGACTGACCCTTGTGGCACCCCACAAGCAAGGTGCCTCGGGGTCGACCGCTGCCCCCCCCTGTCAACACAGATTGCGACCGGTCAGAAAGGTAGGAGGAGAACCACCGCAGAACGGTGCCCCCCACCCCCAACCCCGCCAACCGGTGCAACATGATACCATGGTCGATGGTATCAAAAGCCGCTGAGAGGTCTAACAGGACCAGGATAGAGGAGCAACCCCTATCCCGAGCCCTCCAGAGATCATCCACCAACACGACCAATGCCGTTTCCGTGCTGTGCCCAGGCCGGAAGCCGGACTGGAGCGGGTCTAGATACACAGTTTCATCCAGGTACCGGGGAAGCTGTTGCGCTACCACACTCTCAACAACCTTCGCAACGAAGCGAAGGTTGGAGACTGGACGATAGTTAGCCAAAACAGCCGGATCCAGAGAGGGCTTCTTAAGGAGGGGCCTCACAACCGCTTCTTTCAAAGCGGCCGGCAGGACCCCCTCACCCAAAGAAGCATTAACAATCTTCTGGAGCCAGCCTCGTGTCACCTCCCGGGAAGCCAGTACCAACCAGGAGGGACACGGGTCCTATAAACATGTGGTCGCGTTCAGCCGTCCCAGGACCCTGTCCATGTCCTCGGGAGCCACAGGATCAAACTCCCCCCAGATAACACTCTCAAGACCTGCCTCAGTCATCCCGTCCGGACATACCCAGTCAGAGGCCAGCCCTTCCCGAATCTGAGCAATTTTGTCATACAGATACTGCACAAAGTCCTCAGCTCGGCCCTGCAAGGGGTCATCCCGCGCTTCCAGATGGAGGAGGGAGCGGGTCACCCTAAACAGGGCAGCTGGGCAATTATCTGATGACGTGATAAGAGCGGCAAAATAGCTAGATTTCGCCGCTTTTATCGCCACTAGGTAGGTCTTAATATGAGACCTCACCAGTGTTCGGTCGGATTCGGAGCGGCTGGTCCTCCAAGTACTCTCCAGGCGTCTTTTCCGGCGCTTCATCTCCCTAAGCTCCTCAGAGAACCAAGGAGCTAGGTGAGTTCGGTGCCGGGTCAGAGGCCGCAAAGGCACGACACGGTCCAAGGCCCCGGCAGCCGCACTATCCCAGGCGGCCACCAGATCCTCAGCCAAGTCATGAGCCAGAGTCTCAGGAAATGGCCCAAGCTCCATCTGGAACCTATCAGGGTCCATCAGGCGCCTGGGGAGGAACCACCTGGTCGGTCCCGCCTCCCTGCGGCGGGGTGCAGCGGTTAGAAAGTCCAGTCGAAGGAGCGAGTGGTCAGACCATGACAAGGGTTCGATGACTATATCCCCTGTATCAAGGCCACTCGACCACTGACCAGAGACAAAAACTAAGTCCAGAGTGTGTCCACCCCTGTGAGTGGGGTCATGAATTAACTGAGTAAGGTCCATGGCCGTCATGGAAGCCATGAACTCCCGAGCCACCTCAGACGTTTCGCCGACAGATGGCAGGTTGAAATCCCCCATGACTAAAAGTCTGGGGGTACCAACTGCCACCTCAGCTATGATGTTGAGCAGCTCGAGCAGGGCCATTGCCATGCGGCAGGGAGCCAGGTACGTGATCAACAAGGCCATCTGTACTCCACGACCCCACCTCACAAAAAGGGACTCACATCCGGCTATCTGTGGAACAGTGGTCTCCCTCGGATCAAGACTTTCCTTTATAATAACCGCCACCTCCCCACCCCTGCCCTGAGCTCTCGGCTGATGGAATGCTTGGAAACCTGGTGGGCACATATCCACGAGGGGAACCCCCCCTCATGGCCCAACCAGGTCTCCGTAATACCTGCCAGGTCCGCTCCCCCCTCCTGAATAAGATCGCAAATGAGGGGGGCTTTATTTACCACGGACCTGGCATTGCACGACAGCAGCCGAAGGCTCGGGCCCTGAGAGTCTGAACAGCCTGCGATACGAGAAGGGCTATGGGGACTGGGGCGCGCCACCGCTCGAAGATAGCGAGTGCGCGCCCCCACCACATGATGCGGCCCCCTGCTCCCGCCATATCTGCCCCTCCCACTCAACACATTGATAGAAAAGCCCTCGACAGAATGGACTCTAATGTCTCCCTTACCCCCGGAATCCGCACCCTCCGTGGCCCTACTCACAGCTGGGCCGGACCCCTCCCCCCATGGGTTAACCCCCAAACCCACACAACCCTCCCACCCCTTAAAATCCCTTAAAAATCTATCAAAAAGTTTCCCTAAAAAACCCCTCAATCCCCTTTTTGCAGCATGCCACCTCTCGGGGTGCCAAAGCCTGTCATAAAGGTAGGCCCTTGATAAAGTGGAGGGCCACACCTGCGAGAGGGGGGAGTCTCGCAGAATAAGAAGTTCTGTTGGCGAATACATCTAATCAATCAGTTAATTAATTAATTAATCTGGGGGAAGTCCACGGCCTGGGGGTAATCCAGATAGTCCAAAGTCTGGGGAGGGACATTCAATCAATTCCAAGTCAATAAATTCAATAAATTCCACTGCTCTCTCACAGCAGTGGATGGAGTCTTAAGCCATTTCGAGGCCAGATGTTAACACCAGCTGCCCTCTCACGAAAGCTGGGAAGGGCCAGAAACCGCAGTCATCATCCGGCTCCATACAAGGCTTGAAATCTGAGATATCTCACTCTACAACTGGGGGGCTTTAATCACAGTCACCAATTTACAGGTCCGCGAGCCAAGAGAAGCCTCCGATGGTTCTGGCGACTGCACCTTGGGCAAATCAGGAGGCGAATCGGGGGGCTGTAGATATCCATGGGAGGCAAATATCATCCTATTGTTCAGAGGAACCTCCAGATGATAAGTGGCCTCACAGAGGCTAACAGACCACATGTCAAACTCACATTGTCATGGCAGCGTCACATGATGTATCAGGACTTTTTCCCCCTTTGCTAAACTGGGCATGGGCGTGGCCAGTGGGTGATGCATCCAGCCCATGGGCAGGGAGTTTGACAGCCCTGCTCTAGTAGAAGTACTTAAATATGACAGCATTGCAGAAACAAGTTTTCAGTGCTGTTATTCAGAAATGTTGATGTTTAAAATAATAATGAAGTAATTTCAGAAGCATGGTATAGTTAAGGTAAAGAACTTACAACTGAATATTCAAATATACTCTAGGTACTTTTGATACCAAATAGGAAGTTTTATTTTCCTAATTATTTTGTAGAATCTATCTTATGTCCTGAGTTTAACTTCAATACATTAAATCACCAACAGCAATTTATACAATATCTTTACAACAATCTGATTGTTTTCTGTGCATGCTTAGAAGAAATAGAGAGAACACTATAAAAATATGTGATTTTTTAAACCAAAAGTAAAAATGACATACCTTAAACAATAAAATGAACTGCTGTAATGGAAAATCAAATAATCAACTCTCACACTGTGACTATAAGAATGCATATAATAATTTATTTTATGGTTCATATTTAATATGTAATCATATTAAAGCAAATTCTTTTTTTTTTTAATTTTCCCAGGAACTTGGAAGCAATAGCCCACCACAGAGGAACTGGAAGGGAATAGCAATTGCATTGCTGGTGATTCTAGTTGTATGTTCACTGATCACCATGTCCGTAATTCTTTTAACACCAGGTAGTAATAAAGTTTTATTACTTATTTGTTTTGAATATTTAAACACTAAATTGCTTATATTCAGTCAATAATATATGAATGAGAAATATTGCTATATAAGTTAAGAAATGCAATATGTTATAGTAATAATAAGCATGCTGTAGAATGTGGTAGAATAAAATGTTGACCGGTGAAGACTATTGATTATCCATTGACATTAGGAACTGGAATTGTTCATGTGACCATAAATATTCCACATCTCATCATGCACAACCTATTCCCACACCTCAGATTTCTGTGATTTGAAACAAATCTAGAAAATACCTTAAATTTTTTTTGAAGGCATCTCTTAAGACCATTACAAAGCATTAGTCAGGAAATGCTATGCTCAATGTTGCCCTGTTGTAAATATGCAAAACAGTAAAGAAACGTAAATGGCAGGAGACTGCCCTACATATGGCGTGTCAGATTTTCAGATTTCAATTTCTGAACATTAGGGGTGCTCAAAAGTTGTGACATGCCTTGGGGATTGTAAAGATACTTTGGTTATTTTAATATAATTTAGATGTGCTTGGTAAGTAACTACATAAATATCATAACCTTTTAACATTTTGTTTGTTTCATTTATGCCATAGTGTTAGTACTTCAATTAAAGTAGTGAAGAAAGCTAAGAGATAGGTATAGTTAAAAGAGTTTTCCTCCTATCACTGAAAGTCCTATTACAGTGGCATCCATGGAAAAGGGGGCAAGGATCAATGTGGTAGTTTCAGCAGTATAACAAATTCAAGCCCATTTATACATCTCTGTGATATATAAAGGTGGCAGGACTTTAACTGTGCTGCTGCGGTAATCGTTTTGATCTTTTGGACCCTGTTAACTGCTTCCCTATTAAATCCATTGCTGCTCATCCCATTTGGACAGTGGATGAGGGCATTTTCTCATGATTTTGTCTCATAGCAATGGGGAATTGAAAGTTCACTAACCAGTCCAATAGCACAGTGGTCTCCAACCTTTCTGGCTTTGTGGACCAGTGTGGGAGGGGAAGAGGGAATGGTTCCATGTGAGCAGTGAGTGCACGCAGCTGCATTTACATAAGAAGCAGGCACACGCATGCGCCATTCACACAAATGGGGCTGCACATATGTGCTTGCCTATCCTCTGTGTGCACAAATGGAATTGCGCACATATATGTGCTCACTTGTTGCTTCCATGATCCAGTTCCGAACTGGCCACGGCCTGGGGGTTGGGGAGCCCTGCAATAACACAAGGCAAAGGAAACAAAGTTTTTGAGCTTTAGTTGAAGTTTTCCTTCTTAAGCAATGGATAGAACAGAAGAGATAGACTTTTCTTCCTTTTCCCAAACAAATACATTCAGGATTACAAGGGTATGGGCAAGTAAAAATAAACTTGAACTTTCCTATGTATAGGAAAGAAAGGATAAATGAAGGATGAAAATAAGTTTGAATTAGTAGTATGTAATATCTAGCAAATCACCTTACAGTTCTGGGAAGGCCAAATTATTGCACAGTATAGCAAGCTCAGTAAATCCCAATTCCAATTACAGTATGTGGAGATCCGTAAAGTAATAAAAACAATATATCTTTTTCTTTCTTTTTAGGTACTAGATCTTTAATTATTTATTCTTCAGATTATATGCAGATTTAGAACAGTTAGAATTGCTACAGTCAAGGAGTAATGATTGGAATACTTAAAAAGTTTTCTTTTCCCAGTTGCTCTAAAATGTAATTAAATTGCAATGAATAGAGTACAGGAGCATTTTGCACTGCCGATTTATAGCCACACTGGATGATTTTTTTATATCACTAGCTTGAGAAACCTGCTAGTATCTGATTAATAGGTAAAAGTATTTCTCTATGCACAGTGTTCGTTTTTCAGGGCTTTGTTACTTTTTGTTATTGTCATAAATGAAAACACAGATATTCTTTGAGAAGCAGTCCTGCAGATAACCAGGTCCTCTGTCATGTAGGGCTTTAGTGATAACCAGCTTCTTGAATTGCACCTGTAAGGAAACTGGGAACCTGTGTAGCTTGCACAACAGAGATGGGCAAACCTCTGAAAACCCAATACTGTGTATGCCCCTGCATTCTGCACCAGTTGTGTAGGTAACTCAAACAATTGACCAAGTATAGGTAGCTCAAACAACAATCTCTGAATAGTTGGTATTAGGAATTAAGCATAACATTTCATAAAAATTATAATTTGGTCTTTATTTCATCTCAATCAATAGGCATTATCCCCCCCTCCCATTTTTCTTGTTTGTTTTCTGAGAGGGCAATTAGAGAGAGAACTTTGCCAATATTTTGATGCAGATTAAATTATTTTCTAGTGCAAAATTCTTTAGTTAAGATTACTTGTGAAGTCTTATCGCTTGATCTAAGGAGATTCTGAATATCTCACCTTGTACTTTGCCTCTGATTTTCTGCTTAAGTTACTGCCTTAATTTTGTATGGAAATGCAATTCTTGTCAGAGAGTTCAGATGTCTTGAGAAAAGCAGAGCAAGTAAATATCAAATTAAGATTAGCTTTCTCATGACCTTTAGAGTATTAACATACTGAGAGACTGAGGGCTGCCTGAGGGACATCTGTCATAATGAGTATTAATGTTTCATAGTTTATAAAACTGCTGTGCTTCATGAGTTAATGTATAGTATCCTAACGGCCTCTACTCCTTCCCTTATTCAATGGCAGAAGAAAGCCAACAAGTGCATTGGAGATAACATAATGAGCAATAAAGCAAAACAAGATTGTGTTGCTTTGTAAATTTATATATTTATATCTGGATGGAGATTAACGCCCTGGGCCAAAATTTGAATAGTGACATATTATTGGAGTAATAAAGGTTCCAAAATCGATTTTGTCAAAATTATTTTATTTCCTCTTACCATTTCTTCAAACAGTAAGTCTTAGTTGGAATAGTGGAAAATGAATAACCTCAAATGTAAAATTTAGTGGGAAAAAAATCTGTTAAAAAGAATTCTGTAAACGTTCTTAGTTGAAGTGAAGCATACAGTAGAACTAGCTAAAGATGCAGTCTATTGTGGGCATTGAACAATATTGAAGCAATAAAATTAAATAAAAGTCAATTGTTACAATACATTAGCATCATATATACTGGGTTAGATAAGGCAAACATTGACTGTCATTGCAGTAAACTTTCAATTAGATCAGCTGAATAAAGTATTCCACTATAATAAAGTGTTAATTTTACTAGAAAAACCTACAACTATGCCGTCTTTGGTATTACCTAAGCGTAGCTCATAAAATTATCTGCTACAATGTCCTATCTGTCAATGACTACTTCAGTTTCAACCATAACAATACATGAGCATACAATAGATAATAACTTAAAGTGTACCGCTCCAAACTCAATTGCAGAAAATATGACTTCAGCAACAGAGTGGTCAGTGCCTGGAATACACTACTTGACTCTGTAGTTTCATCCCCAAACCCCCAAAATTTTAACCTAAGACTGTACTGTTGACCTCACCCCATTCCTAAGAGGTCTGTAAGGGGCATGCATAAGAGCATCAGCATGCCTACCGTCCCTGTCCTAATGTTTCCTCTACTTGTATCTATTTTATGTATTCAATTCATGCTTATAATTATATAAATTACCTAATACATTCTTGACAAACAAACAATAAATAATGGTGATCAAATTCTGCTGGTTATCTGGGCAACTATAGCTATGGCAAACATTATTTCAAGAGTCTTTTTCTGATTATGTATGCTTCTGGCTGCCCAGGAAACAGCATGTGGGAATTCCATAAAAGTCACAACATATTAAAATATTAACAAGTATGTTCTGCAAAGGATATAATAATAATAATAATAATAATAATAATAATTATTATTATTATTATTATTATTATTATTATTATTATTATTATTATATTTCTATACCGCCCTTCTCAGGGCAGCGTACAGCCTAATTAAAAGCACAAAGACAAACAAAATTTAAAAATAATTAAAATTATTAAATAATTGGCTCAATTATAAAACCCCCAAATTTAAAATCCAACATTTAAAACCAATTAAAACCTTTACATTGATAGCCCGGCCGGGCGGAACAACAAGGTTTTGAGGGCACAGCGAAATATACGGAGGTTGGAGATCTTACGCATTTCTGGGGGCAGTTCATTCCAAAGGGCAGGGGCTCCCACAGAGAAGGACCTCCCCCTGGGTGTCACCAGCCGACATAATTTGGCCGATGGCACCCTGAGGAGACCCTCTCTGTGGGAGTGGACTGGCCGGTGGGAGGCTACTGGTGGCAGAAGATGGTCTTGAAGGTACCCAGGTCCAATGCCATGGAGCGCTTTAAAGGTGGTGATCTCACTTTCCCCCAGTTGCAGGGAAACCTTCATTATCTGACTTCTACCCTGTGCTTCTGATATAAACTAAGAGCAGTTTGCATCTTATTTTGCCTCAGATCAGATCAAAATTCACTTTCCCAGATTACTTGACTATGTTTCATATCTCTCCCATCAACTTTATTCATACAAAAGAGAACCTAAAAGTAAGACAATGTAAAACCTCTACAGCCTTACCAGAATTTTTTTTTGAAAGGATTATTCATTTTTCATTCTAATTTGCTTCAACATAGAACAGAAAATGGTCAAATACATCTTCTGAAAGTAGGAGCCTTTAAGGCTTTGAAATTTTATATGAAAAATCCTTCAGCTGTTACAAGAATGTCTGGGATTTCCTGTCATTTTAGCCAAGTTTTTAAGCACAGGATAACCCCTTGTGTTTTTCTGCTAATTTGATCAGCATACATACCCAAAAATAAAGTTGTAAATTCTTGGTTTTACAGTGTCAAAGAGTAATTGCATCCTCTCAACAACTAGCTCAACAAAATTCACACATCATTCCTAAATCAGATATTGCTTTAATCATGAATAAACCACATTAGCTGAATTCATACCATATGCCTATCTAACATCAAATAAATTGCATTATGTTTTATACGATAACATTATTTTATTGCCTGAATTCAGTCACACATGTAATCTGTTCTGTGCTAGCTTACTGATGATCTTGAATCTAAGGCAAGGAACTTTAACTTGTTTGAATTATGGTCATAGGGTTCAATAGGAATTTATCCTTTACAGATTGGTTCATGGATTGATTGATTGTTATTCTTTTTCATGACTTAATGTACAAATAAACATTACCTGAAAATACGGAAGGGATATCAGTATTTTAAGCAAAGATTTATTTTTGAACTCTGTGCTTTAAAATTAATAGTTTTTTTTAAAAAAATTAAAACATTGCTTTTTGTTGCAGATGAACTGTCAAACTCTTCAGAAACAAGATTGTCTTTAGAAGATCTCTTCAGAAAAGAGTTTGTAGTTCACAATACAGATGCCAAATGGATGAATGGTATGTTGGATATGTTGGACAAGCACTTTGAATAGAAAATACAAAAAGTGAATTATATTTTACTAATGTACATATAACTAATGTATATTTAGAGAGTATGTTATAAATGTAGAATGCTGCTTATTAAATGCTGGACAGATTTAAGCTTTCTTGAATTAAATCTTTATTTAATCATATTTAAGAAATCAACTGGCTTTATGGTAGTCATGTTAAGCAGGTCCAAGGCCAAACTCTTGATAATGATAGTGATAGTGATAATCAGCCTTTTAAGGTAGATGAGGTCAAGAAATAGACAAGTATATATGTAGTTGTTGGATAAATTTTGCCCCATTTTATGACCTTTCTTGCCACAGTGTTAGGGTGTGTGTAAAAAGTATTTGTTGCTTGTGCAACGAGCAGAGCAGAAACACACAGGGAAGGAGATAAACGTGCAGCTCGTGTGAGAAAAATACTTTATATACAAGATAATAAGCAGTCTCGGTGTTGGTAAAACAGTCCAAGATCATAAACAGTAATATCAGTCCAGTAAGTATCTTCCCTTACCAAAGCAAACAGACTTTAGTAACTCTTGGTATACAGTACCATATAACAATTCAGTCTAACACCAATCATCAGAAAGACGCAGGAAGCAACAGGAACAATCAGGAACAACGAACGCTTCTCTGCGCTGCTTATTTATGCATTGTAGCCTAATTACAGGGTTCAGCAAACCCAGATTACGTGGCTCAGTTGTTTCTTAAAGAAACAGATATATTGCCTGACCAACAAGTTAGGAGTAAGCTACAAGCTGAACCTAACACACAGTTAATTGAATCACTGACGTTATTAAGTTAGTAACATGATTTTAAGCAAATCTTGCTTCCTCATTGACTTTGCTTGTCAGAATGGCCCCAGGACATTGCAAGCATGATAAATATGAACCAGTTGCCAAGTGCCTGAATTTTTACCATGTGACTGTGGTATGTGAAATGATGGTTAGTAGTGGTGGGGTGCTCCCAGTTCTGTCCAGTTCTTTAGTGCATGCTCCTGTTGCAAACTGGTAGTAAAGGTAAGTAGAACCCACCCCTGATTGTTAGTGTGAAAAACGGTCATAAGTCACTGTTTCCACTGCTGTAGTTGCTTTGAATTATCACTAAATAATGGTTGTAAGATGACTACCTCTACTCTCCTCCATCTCTTCTCCCATAGTTATTCAACTCTGCAACGTACAGTAACTCTGATCCAAATTTTAATCCCCAATAGATTACAAGCAATAATATTTATTCAGTTTCCCGAACCAAACCAATCCTGTCCAAGTAGTTCACATTTCTCTTCCTCTTTTATTTTAATTAATACTTTCCCTATATCAATTCTTCACCTGGTCTTCTTCTGTACCATATGCACACTTAAATTCTGTAAAAAATGGCAATATTTACAAAACATTTTTTTGCTAGTGTACTTTTCTATGCCCCAGGGCAAAAAGCAATCCGAGAACTGAGAATAAATAAAAAAGAGAAGTGATTTACTGAAAAAAGAACCCAAAAAATGATTGAAAATAATATTTAGACAACTAGAGAGCCTTGAATAAAATGCATAAATCAGAGAAGACGTGCTATGTGAAACAATTGGGTATGTTTCATATAAACATGTTAAAGGTCATCAGGACTGTAGATTAAAAAATGACTGATTATTTAACCTATAACTAGTGATAGGACTAAAAATAAGAGCTGAAAAGAAATGGCAGTGGAAATACAATGACACACTCATTCATAGTAACAGCTCTGCTATAATACCAATTTACAACGCTGACACTAAAATCATCAAAAATTATAGAATAATATTCATCACCCATTCTGCTAACAATTTCCATATTTTTTTTACTGTTAGGGTACAGTTTTAAGGTCACTTTTTCTTCTTCCAGCAATGTATAAATACGTTAACTATGGTATATTCCTACCTTCATAAAGCAATTCTTGCTTTGTCTTTAGTCTATTTTCTGAATTTGGATGCAATGTAGTAGTATGAGTAATTAATTATTTCATACTACAGTTATCCTTGAAGTAAAAAAGAATTTGTTGGTGGTACTAATAGAGAAATGTAATTTGCAGAAGATTCTAAATATTTAACCAACTTTGCCTTATAAATATGTCCCTTCTAATTCCTTCCTTTATTCATTCTATCTATCATAAAACTGCATAAAGTCCATTTGTCAAGACAGCTCCTTCTATCTTTGATGTTCTGTTATTTAGAGATTGTGCCCATTATGTTATCCATGATCAACAGCCTGTTCAATAATATAATTTAAGGTTAGGAATTAAAAATCCACACTTTTAATGAGTCTTGTAAGATGAATCTTATTCTTGGTTTTTCTCACTCTATATGAACCTGTTAATTGCTCTTTGCTGTTCTACAAACTTTTGTCTGATATTGCAGTCAGTGCCATTTGAAGTAAGAGGTTAATTTTAGACAATATAGTCAATGTTATTGTTGTAATGAGACCCAAGAAACTTTTAAGTTTTTCCACCTTTAAAAATCTTTTTTAATTTCTTTCCATAATTTATTATAACTGTTTGGAAATATGTCTTTGTTAAAACCCTGTTAAATACAGTCTTAAATATTTCATTAGATCTTTTGCTATCTCACAGCCAGTCTCTTTCATTCACAAGTGTTAGCTTATTTTGAGTATAATGTTAACAACCCTTAATGTGATGTCATATATGACATGTCACTTGCAAAATCTAATATGCAGTGCATGATGTGTTCTATCTTCATTGGCTTTTGCCCTTATCCAGTAAGAACAAGGGATGTATGCCTTGGTTCTTAATGAGTATTTATGAACAATGATATAATCAGAACATAGCAATCTGGGGAATGATTTTTGGAATTAATGGTATGGACTGTTTGCCCTTGTTCATCCAACATGCTCAACTAGGGTCTATGACAATTCACCACGGTCAACTCTCCACAGCCAACTCTCCACAGCCAACTCGCCTTGGACAACTTGCCACAGGATATCTCGCTGAGGGACAAGAGTTATGTTAATATCAAAGAAATAATGGAATAGAATCATTAAGGAAAGGATGCAAAAGGAGGGACAGAATTAAATGTGAATTGTAAAAATTTAATTTTTTATTTTAAATAATTAAATAGAATTGTTAAATTGTCCAGCAGCAAGTTGTCCAATGGTGAATTGGCCATGGCAAGTTGTTCTGCAGCAAGTTGGCTGTGGTGAGTTGGCAATTACAAGTTGGCTGTGATGAGTTCAGGTTTAACTATGTGAGCATAGAGTTAATATAACATGGATATGTGGCTAAACATAGTAAGTAGGGGCTGACACCTAGGGAATCTCTGAGGTTAAATTAACTCTCTAAAGTCAGCTACACCTTCTGAACTGGGACAAAAAGAATTCCTTGTGTCTCTGTTCTCCTTACATTCTTCTTTCCCATGAGTACATAGAAGAGCGTAGAACGCAAGAAGAATAAAGCAGGTCAACCAACTGTGCTTGCAGCACTGTACCTGACTGAACACTGACTGAAACTGGAGAACTGAGAGGGAAGAGTATTGCTGTCATCTTCAAATATTCCACTGCCATTGTGAGGAAACCTTTCAACTCTCATACCACTTCTGAAGGCATGCACCTGATGCTGATGAGAAAGAGAGAGAGTGGGATGGAGGGAGAAAGAAGGAGAAGGAGAAGGAGAAGGAGAAGGAGAGAGCGAGCACAGGGTTGTTATGTAACTATTATATAATTACCATGTTTCCAGAAATTTCCCTGTACAGACTGGTTGAAATATTACTAGCGAAAACATTCTTCCCTTTATGTATTTTTCCCAATATTCAAGGAAGGCATTTTCAGCATCTCATAGATGGAACAGGTTCATTATATGAAGATGTAAGAATGAGTGTTCTTAGTTGTGGTCACTTTGCTTTGAAAAAAGTTATTCCCCTGAAAATCAGATATATTAACTATTTTTTGACCCTAGATACAGACCTGCCATTTTATACTCACTCACCTCTGACAGTATCTACAGCCTACTACTTCCTTTTATCTCCTACATGAATGTTTACTAATGTCATTTTAATTAGACTTTGTTTTTATTTCTCCCCAATTTATTTATTATCTTGATTCTATTATGATATTGTATTTTATTATATTTTATTTATATTTTGTCACTACCATCTGGACAGGAGACAGACTGTAAAACTTAAATGAAATAAAAGTAGTGCTGTCTTCAAGAGGACCAGCATTAATTTTGTACTGAGTGGGATGGGAGTTTTGAGTAAGGAAGCATCAGCCTGCTTTATGGTGGTGGTAGGATAAGATGCTGATTCTCCTTTGATTAGGATACCTGCATCTTTTGCAAGTGGAATGTGAAGGTAAGTATTTATCCAGGGGAAAAAGTAAATTTAATCAGCAATGTTGTGGGATGACAGCCATTAAGATTTTAATAAGATAAATAAAAATATACTTGTAGAACTTTTTCACAAATAATTCTAAATTTAGTTTTCAATGTTGATTTTTTCTTTGCATATAAACAATGAAAGCATTTTTATTTAAAACTAAAAAACACAACAACTTCTATTTTAAGTTACATTTTGATTTAAAATTAAATTAGGAACAACTTCTATTATAAGAAAAATATTCAGTTAATTTCCATGCATGCCAGTTCCCAGCCAAGAAAGCAAGACATAGGGATATGTCCTCTCGCCCCTCCTGTTCAACATTTATGTGAAGCTGCTGGGTGAGATCATCTGTGGTTTTGGGGTGAAGTGTTAACTGTAGGCAGATGACACACAGCTGTACATTTCTACCCCAGACCACCCCAATGATGCCCTTGACGTGATGTCCCATTGCCCGGAGGACGTGCGGAACTGGATGGGGAGGAACAGGCTCAGACTCAATCCATCCAAGACAGAGTGGCTGTGGTTTCCAGCGCCCCGATATAGCCAACTGATACCATCGCTGGCTATTGGGGAGGAGATCTTGTCCCCCTCAGAGAGGGTTCACAACTTGGGCGTCC